AGAAGCCCGCAGTCAGAAAGTGAAATGATCAGATCACATTCCGTATGCATGGTTCGAGGTGTCTATTTCGCCGCATCTAAGCAAATAATTTAGTGTGTTGACTTAAGGAGTCTCACGGTTAAACTTTATCAGATCCCTGTGCATACCTGCAGCGGAACCTTAGAAATAGACTTTCAAATGTTGCCACAGTCTTTAAAGAAAGCAAAAAGAAAAAGAAAAAGAAAGCCTCTGTCTGCTCTCAAGACCACAAACATTTTGTATGTTTTAACCTCAGCTGTTGCACTGGGGAAAAAGCTTCTTTTACCCCGTCTGTTAAAGGTAGAGTAGGCAGTGCTGGAGAGAGAGACTGTTGCTATACCACAACGCAAACCTCATTGGGAGTGTTGTACTCCCAATGAAGATGTTACTGCTTGTTACAGCGCGCAGAGAGCACCCGTCCCACGAGTATGAAGCGGCGGTGTTTGTTGACTGACGTGCCCGAGGCTCCCTGAACGTGATCACTGGAAAACTCAGAGAGCAAAGCTGCTTGACACTGCGGCGGCACGACCTCAGGCGCCGCATGCCTCTTGGATTTCACACCTCGCCCCTTGGACTCAAAGTTCAATAAGTTTCAACTCATGACCTTCAAAAGCACAACCAGTGAGGAGGCAGCTTCCCATGATGAAACCCAAAGGTTCATAGAGACAAACTCCTCTTAGTAGTTGAGTTTTTACTATTTTTCTCCTCTGAGGGAGAATAACTCCCAGTTCCTTCTTTTTTGTTAAACTGAAATACATAATTCACAAATGTCCTTTGCAGCAAGACTTGTTTTGTTCTTCTTTTTTACATTTCCCTTCAGTGTTGTAAATAATGCTGCAGGTAATGATTTTTTAAAAATAGTGAAAATACCCATTATTCATATTTCATAGACACCAGTGTTTTAACTGAGAAGCAATCCAAAACCCAAACATACAGTATTTCATTTAATAACCTTTATTTACCACAACTGCAGAAGATAAAAAGCTTTTATTATTTCTTTTTCCCTCTGTTTGACGTGTGTGATTGTTTATAATTTAGTAAGAAGCCGAGCTTTGGTCCGTTACAAAGTTACAACATTACACTGTTAATACAAACTCAACACTTCCTATAACCGTTTCAATTTAAAAGCCTTCTTCCACCATTTCAGTGGGCAGAAACCCTCACGTTCTTAACGGGGCTTTTATTGTGAAATATTTTCAAGCACACCACAAGCAACAACAGCTGGACGGATCAGAGTGAATGAATCCAATACTTGAGATGAATTATCCAGAACATCAAAGTGTTGAGAACAGCACGATTATATTGTTGAATTTATTCAATTCAAGTGGTAGAAACATTATGCTTAAATGGCGTGCACATTATATGAGATTAGGAGTTTATCCACTCTCATTTTTCCCTGTCCTTATTTGTTAATGTTCACCATGGCCCCCAGCCACTAATGGAGACCTGGCTTTTAAGTGACTCCTGGTTTTTATTGAGGAAATACAGCATTCAGTTTACTCATATAGTATATCCAAAAGAAAAAGCATCAAATCCTCACATTTGAGGAGCTGGAACAAACAGGTATCAGCTGTCAAAATAGCTGAAATGACTAAATAATTGCTTCATCTCTAGATGTAGAACTGGGCGATACTTTGCCCTCTGCGCTGTGCTCCGTGCATCACCTCGCTGCGTACACAGCTCATACCGCATACACATGTATTTTTAAACCAGACTCTGACTTTTACATGTTTATATCTTTTGAATAGTCGTAAACTGAATGCACAGGCTTTGAAAGGACGGATGGAAAACAGAGTTCAAGTTCAAATAAGTTCAACTTGTAGAATAGCTTCAACGTTTAGCGTGAGCTGTAAAAACCTCAGTGGTGTCATCTGTGGTTTGTGCTGCAGCAGAGCAAATCCACTGGTGAATATATATATATATATATAAAAATCCAAATCTTTTGGTTCACTTGCTTTAATCAACAGGGTCATGGATGCAGGTAAAGGCACAGGGCGGTTCAGTTTCAGCTCATGGCCTCAACATTTTCTCACTGCACTTCATCCAGAAAAAGTCTGTATAAAATGGAAAATATATATATATAAAAATCCAAATCTTTTGGTTCACTTGCTTTAATCAACAGGGTCATGGATGCAGGTAAAGGCACAGGGCGGTTCAGTTTCAGCTCATGGCCTCAACATTTTCTCACTGCACTTCATCCAGAAAAAGTCTGTATAAAATGGAAAGGATATAAATGTAAATGTTTATACTTTGCCTGTGGTTTGTGAAGGTGGGCCACATTTATTTATGCTTTGTGTACATACAGTTTATGTATAGGCTGATATTCGTGCGTGTGTTTGAGTAGTGAATAAGATTTAGTAGCTGCAAGGTGCTCACACATACGTGCACACAGACAAACGCACAGCCCCACACAGAGTGAGGCCAGCAGGCATGGATGTGAGCTCCATGCTAAAGAAGTGGTGTGTATAAATTTGCTTAAGTGTTTGGCCAAGGTCTGTGGCTGTGTGTGCAATCGATGTGCCAGCAGCAATAAATCAGCTCAGGACAGACCTGAACGCCTCTACAGCTTCATCTGATGTGGCAGGTGGGCTTCAGGATGGCCCTGACACACACACACGCACACAAACAAACGCACACACACAAACACTCCGGATAATTCAAGGTTTTTCTTGGATCAGATAACATGCTCAAGAGTTTGAGGGAAATTAATGATATGATTTATAAAGTGATAACATTGTGTCATATTTTTCTGATTGGAAATGGCTTCTGATGATATGTGGCAGAGTGACTCAGACAGGCTGGATAATACTTAGACTGTATACTGTATATTGTGCTACTGTATACTGTAGCACCAGTACAGCAGCATGCATGAATGTATGAATGTAATTGAATGATAATACCACACATAATGTAAATGGAGGGAATATACACAAATTCCCATGTGAAATATCTGTGAGAGAATTACGTAATGAAAATGGTAAAATGTAAATGCGGCAAAATTTGGTCAGAATATGATATTAACATGAATTTTTTAAGGATGTTTGGATTGGGTTTGAGCAGCATGAAAAATGTTTTGTAGCCCATCACAAGATTCGGTCCCATTTTCCTCATGTATGTGTGTCCACAGTCACTTTTCCTAACCATTTTTTCTTCATCCTTAAACTCAACCCATTTCTCTGTTTGATCTAATTCAGGCATTACAGAAAGACTTTTAAATCAATAACTTGTTTTTCAGTTCAAAGACATCTTCCTCTTTTTCCTCTCATCTCTTTGTCCCAGTTTAGTCAAACATCAGCACTCAGCTCCACCGGCTACTAAAGCTGCACGGCCACGGAGTTCACGCGCGCTGCTTGGTTTTCACTTATTTATAGAATTTATAAAATACATCAGTCAGGGTTTGATGAAAATGCTGCAAAAAATAGCCTGTCTTACTATGCAGTTTAGTGTAGTGAGTAGATGTTCAATTGCTTCCACTGTTGTGTAGTCAGGAAAATTCCTTGTGTGTTATGTGGATGCTTGTGTTGGGTGGTGGTGCATGAGTGTGTATGTGTGTGTGTGTGTGTGTGTGTGTGTGTGTGTGGGCAGGTCCATCTTATGTCAGTTATGTCTGCGAATGACGTGGTGAAGTCAGTAGGATCTGAGAGAGTGTGTAAAAATGCTTTTGACCCACTGTATGTGATGTTCACAGAGTGTGTGTGTTTGTGTGTGTGTGTGTGTGTGTGTGTCCAAGATGGTAACAGTGGCTGTATTGTCCTGATGGGACAGGCAACAGCATCGTCTGGGCCACTGTAATCATGGCTGGGCTGAAGATGAAAGACGCTATTGACAAGAAATTGTCAAATTGAAAGTGAGAGAGAGAGAGAGAGAGAGAGAGAGAGAATGCAGTGAAAGAGAGGAATGAAAAACAGCAGCAGAAATGAGAGAGGAGAATGCTTTGTGACCAAACTGTGTGTGTACTACTTTCTGACCCAACTCCATTATGAAACAAGCCTTTTCCTTGTGCTCTGTATTTAGATATATCCAAGCATTAACCAGTGAACTGAAGTTTGGACAGCACTGTATGTGAATGCATGGCTGTTCCAAAGGACAGCAGCCTTTTGAACCACTATCCATCATCTTCATCACTCGCTGATGATGGTAATATCAACGATGCTGTTGATGATTGACTGTGGAACAGTCATGTTGCTTTTGTACTAAAACTTTGAAGACTTTACTTGTCCCCCAGTGCATTCTGGGACAGGCCCCAGCCTCCTACAACCATGACCCGGATAAGTGGATATAGAAAATGGGTCGATGGATGGAACAGACTGGAAAGTAGATAGATGGTCTACGTTTTTTTTTTTCTTCCCCTCATTCTTTTTTTGCCTCCGTGACCAGAGGCGTTATGTTTTCAGGTTGTCCGTCCATCCATCCGTCCGTCCGTCCGTCCGTCCGTCCATTCGTCCGTTCGTCCGTCCGTCTGTCCCTTTCTTGTAAACGCGATATCTCAGGAACGCCTCGAGGGAATTTCTCCAAATTTGGCGCAAATGTCCACTTGGACTCAAGGACGAACTCATTCGATTTTGGTTGTCAAAGGTCAAGGTCACTGTGACCTCACAACACACGTTTTTGGCCTTAACTCCGTCAATTTGTACACTAATTACAACAAAATACACTTATCTGATTAAATTCCTTCACAGTCGTCACTACGTATGTGAGTATATGAGTGTGGACAGTAATTCTAATTCCTCAGTTTTCCCTTACAGCCATCTTTCCCTCCATCTCTCTCGCCTTTTATATTGAAGTGGTTTGAAGCCAAATAGCTTTCACTTCTCTCCCTCTCACTGTCTGTCCTGCTTTATCGGGCTGAACCCCCCCCCCCCCCCTCTTTTTTTAGAAGATGGGTGCCTGTATTTCTCCGCTCTGTTGGTCTGTAGTAAATACACTACAGGATTCTCCCTGCAGCATTGCTTGTAATTTATGGATGTTTACCTGTTATCACAATGCTGCACATCAGCGGCTCGCCCTGTACGTGTTTTCTAATGTCGTCTCCTTTTCCAATATGTGTTTCACATCCGCACACTGTTTAATACTGTACATCTCTCCACATGTTCCTCCTCTCATACAGTGTATTTTTGGGATTGTTCGAGGTGCGTATGTATTTCTTTGTGTACGCGCACTTTGTCTGCTGTATCCTTTAATACCTCCAGACAATCAATACGCAGAGGAGCAATGTTTGGCCCTGTCTTCTTTTAAAAGATGTACTCCACAGAGTAGTGCGAGCCAAGAGTCGAGAAGTCAATAAAACAAAGCCCGATAGTGCCCTCATTTGTTTTTTTGGACTTCAGCATCGAGGCCTCTGAGTCTGAGTCTGTGGGCGAATATTAAGTGTCTTGTCATTTCGATACAAACAAATGAATCCTTATTTTGTCAGTTGTGGAAGTGCAAAACACAAGTCCATGAATATATTGACATCTGTGTTTGCTAAGATTTTGCTGTTTCTCTTTCTCAGGGCTGGCAGCAGACAAGACTGAGGATCAGGGGATGAGGTTATAAAAAAAACAACAGCAGAGAAAGGAGGAAAAAAAGGAAAGAGGAAGTCGATCGCTTGGAAACTCTTTCTTTTGTAACATCGTACCCTGCAGTCCTATAAGGCGCCGACTGACCCTGCAGAGGATTACGCAGTCAAAGATACTCACCAACACCCACACGTTCACACCTCCCCCTCCCCTCACTGCCATGTCCTCCCACCTCAACTCACCCTTTCTCATCCTCCCCGCCTTCTTTCTGCTCCTCTCCCTCTCCATGCCCACCGCCTCCACTCCTTCCCCCTCCTCCCTCCTCTCCTTCTCCCCGCCCGAAGGAGGTCTCACACATTTGGTGGTCCACAACAAAACCGGCGAGGTCTACCTGGGCGCCGTCAACTGGATCTACAAGCTGTCCAGCAACCTCACCAAGCTGCGGAGCCACGTTACCGGCCCCGTGACGGACAACCCTCGCTGTTACCCTCCGCCCGGTGTCCAGTCCTGCCCCCACGAGCTGGTGCAGACCTCTAATGTCAATAAACTCCTGCTACTTGACGCTGCCCACAACCGCTTGATCGCCTGTGGGAGCACTTCCCAGGGAATATGCCAGTTCCTGCGTCTGGATGATTTGTTCAAGCTCGGCGAGCCCCACCATCGCAAAGAGCATTATCTTTCCAGTGTTGCGGAAGCGGGCACCATGTCAGGTGTCGTGATCTCCCCGGATCTTTTCGGTGAAGGTGGAAAACTCTTCGTCGGCACTCCCATCGATGGGAAATCTGAGTACTTCCCGACGCTGTCCAGCCGCAAGTTGATGTCTAACGAGGAGAACGCGGACATGTTCAGCTTCGTCTACCAGGATGAGTTTGTTTCCTCGCAGCTCAAGATTCCCTCAGACACGCTCTCCAAGTTTCCTGCATTTGACATCTACTACATCTACGGCTTCAACAGCGAGCAGTTTGTGTATTACCTGACCTTACAGCTCGACACCCAGCTCACCTCGCCAGATGCAAGCAGCGAACAGTTCTTCACCTCTAAAATCGTTCGCCTGTGCGTCGACGATCCCAAGTTCTACTCCTACGTGGAGTTCCCCATCGGCTGCACCAAGGATGGAGTGGAATACCGCTTGGTTCAGGATGCATATTTGGCCCGGCCGGGGACCCGTTTGGCGCGTTCGCTCGGCATTCAAGAGCACGAGGAGGTTCTGTTTACTGTATTCGCCCAGGGTCAGAAGAACAGAGCCAAGCCGCCCAAGGAGTCGGCTTTGTGTCTGTTCACAATGAGGCGGATAAAGGAGAAGATTAAAGAGAGGATTCAGTCGTGCTACAGAGGAGAGGGGAAACTCTCCCTGCCCTGGCTGCTCAACAAGGAGCTGGCCTGCATCAACTCGGTGAGTGTTTGAGACAGTAGCTCCCAGAGGTGTTTTCGATTTAGATTTTGTGATCATCCTAAGCTGCACTGATCGTTCATGGGAAATACACTGGTTTGTGGTGGGTTTGCGTCAGGTTATTTACAATTGTGAATATGCCAGTTTGTAGTTCCTGGAATGATAAGTGTTAAGTTTTAGTTTTACCTTTGCGCCCTTGCCAGAAGCATTTCAGTGGTGATGGGTGTCGGGTGTGTGAAAACCAAGCATGTGTGGAAAGTATTGCAGACGAGTGTTTGGTTGTTCGTGAGCTGTTTTTCTATTTATTAGCAGTAAGAACATAATCAAAACCAAACTATATGAAAAAAAAAAAGGCAACGTTGGGCTGAAGTTCAACATTTGCCTACTAAAACTAAAATTTCCAGTAACTGGATACATTGCACCTCCATGCTACCTCTCACTGCTACCCTACACCCAAAGCCAAAATCTCCACCCTGGCAGGATGGCAACTCATCAAAAGCTGCTTGTGCATCCATGTGACTTTCCCTGGTTTGGCCTATAAGTGGAAAGTATGAATCTCAACAAATTCTTGAACGCAACAGCGTAATATTTTCCTCTCTGGTTTGGGCCAAAGTGTAGGTGGGATCGCACATTTAGTGCCACATGGAATAAATGCTGTCTCAGTGGCTTTTGAATCCAGCGTTATAGCACCATGGGAGAATGTGGGCAGCAGAGGCAGCACATTTACCATGATCTTCTTATGAGAAGAGAGAAGCTATATTTATTCTGAGTGAAAAGATGCACTACTGCATAGTATATCATTATATGGTTCATTTCTAGCATCTACCTGCAGCACAGTAGCCTGTGTTTGTCTTGGTTAATCCTACATCCTCCAACTTCCATGATCCCTCTTTAATGTTTTTTTTAGCTCCATAAAGATCGTTGGTAGTCAGTATGGATCCCTACACACCATGTGGTGTGAATTCATGTGAATCTACCAGATGGGACACTAGAAGAATTAAATGTATTCACTTCCGATTGTCAATTACTGTGGGAAAGAAATCTGTTCTGACACTGGGAGGAGCTAGAGGGATGGAAAAAAAAAAAAAATTCCCATCATGCATTCAGTTTCTTGCGGTTAAAATGTCTCCACTGGTGAATGAGGCTGAGGACAGGACGGCTGTCTCTCTGAGCTCCCATGTGTTTAGGAATAATTCTGTCCACAGGTTGTGAGAGGCTTGTCTCGTCCGGGTAGATGAGCTGGCCTAAGGGTGCCTGAGAGACATTAATGTGTGTGTATGTGTGTGTTTCACCTGCTCCCGTCACCCACATGTCACACACACACACACACACACACACACACACACACACACACACACACACACACACACACACACACACACACACACACACACACGGCCATGTATCTTCATGAATAATTCACCTGGTCTCACCTTCTGTTATTCAGTCGGCGCTCCATAACAACCTGCCATAAATCTCTGGACCACTCTCCCACCCCTCTGTCTCCATATCTCTCTGCTCTCCCATCTTCTCTTTTCTCTTCCGTCTTTCACTCCGGCCTCCATCATTTGCATAAAGATTTCTTTCTTTTTTTGCTTGCCCCATTGTCCCTCTGCTGCTTCTTTCATCTTCCCCTTTTTTCCTGCTCTGGTTCTCTCTGTATCTCTCCCCTTCAACTCCTCTCCTGACCTCTTTCCTTTGTCTGAGCTGTGGCTCAGGCGGTGGACCGGGTCGTCCGCTGATCGCGAGGTTGGCAGTTCGATTCCCCGGCTGTCCCCCCGTCCGTGTGCAAGGCACTCGAACCCAAATTGTGCGACTTGTAGTGTAAATCGCTTTGAGTGGTTGATGAGACTAGATAATGCAATATAAAGCCAGTCCATTTAACCTCCCTCATTTTTACACTACGCTTGTTTTGCTCCTCTTCAGCTTCTCCCCTCCTCTCTGCTCGCTCACCATCCCTCTGCCCTCTCCTTGACTTTCCACTGAGAGTGATGAGGTATAGAGTGACTTAGTGTGTAAAGCCAGCGCCTAGATGTGATCTGAAAATACAATGCGGAGGGAACAGGTGATCCAATGAAAAAGGGGAACGGAAGAAAGTGGAAGTCGTGGCTTTCATGGGAGGAGGGGGGGCGGGGGGTCGAAAGTTGAAGGAGGGTAGAAGGAAGGGAAGATGTGAGGGAGAGGAGGAAGGACGACAGATGGAGAATTATTGGGATAAAGCAGGAAGATGTGGTGAGAGAACACAGGAAAGAGAAGGAAAAAAAAAAGGCAGGAGGAAGGACGGAGAAAGATGGAGAGTAAGAGAGTAAGGGAGAGGGAGATGGAGGAGTGAATGACTGAAGTGTTTTTAGTTAGTAGTTTTGCTGTATGGATGGTGAGTCAGCTCACTTTGGCTCAGATTGACAGGTCTCTACTGAGGGATGTGTTGCTATGAAATGTTGTGCACAGACTCGTGGTTCCCAGAGGATGAAGCCCACAATATCTCAACAGTTCCTCGATGGGTCGGAACAAAATGTTGTACAGACATTCATGGTTCCCAGACAATATATCCTAATGACTGCGATGATCCTCTGACTTTTTTCTGCTAGCACCTCCGTGAAGTTGACATTTGTGGTTTTCAGTGAAATGTCCCGACAAATATTGGCTGGATTGCCATGACATTTGGTTCACGTTCACGTTCCCCTCAGGATAAATTAGACTCACTTTAGTGATCCTCTGACTTTTAATCCGGCACCATCATCCAGTCACAATTTTAATTTGTGCAGTGCTTTGGTTTTATGACTGAATACCTGCAAAAATGAATGACATTTCCATCAGCCTCCGCTCTACTTTGTGTACAGAGCTTATTATGAAACATTAGCATGCTAAGCACAGCATGCTAAACTCAGATTGTTCATATGATTAACATTATACCTGTTGATCATCAGCATGTTAGCATTGTGAGCGTGTCCTGACTTAAACATTTAGCTCAAAGCACTGTTGTGCTCACAATCCTTTCAGTCTATGAACAAGACAAAGAACAACACTCTCCTGAAAGCCACAGTGTAATTTGCACCTCGATTTAATCATGGTGGGAAATGGGCTGGTCTTTTTCAGTTTGTCCATTTGCTCATTATCTGTGATGTGTCAGGCACTGCTGGTTCAGTTCTGACAAAAAGCCCAAGCTATGGGGGAGCTCATTTTTTGTGCTTTTGACGGGCCATGCAGAAGCTGTAGAGATCAAACCTGTGGTTGCCTTTTTTTAAGGGATAATCACTTTAATCATTTCTCTACCATGCTGCCATTTGTTTAGCTATTATTGGAAAAAAAAGTAGCAATGGAAGAAAGCCACAATCCGCCTTTTCCAATTACAGAAGCACATTTCACATATTATTGCTATAGTTGCTAATTCAGTTTTCCCTTTAAAAGCGTCACGGCTCATGCAAGACAATAACAACATTACCTCTTTGTCACAAGCGCAGCGGTGCTGTGCAATCACCATGTGGCCTTGTAGTCTGAAGTGTACTGTATATGCATGCGATTATGCTAATGAGCGTACAGTTACATGATTGTCCTTTATAGCCATCTGTCGTTCCGCCTGCAATCGATCAAGGTCGTGTCAGCAGCGCTCGCTCTGGGACGTCGCCGTGATGAATTTATCATCTCCTCGTACAGACATGTTCAGTGTTTCCTGACGAGAGCGGTGACAGCTCGTCGCCTCTGTGCTGGAGTCATGTGGAAACTTTCATACCGGCTCATTTCAGGAGACAAGGTCAGGTCAGTCAGTCAACGCTCAGACACTCCTCTCTTCCTGGAAGCTATCAAACTTCATCACGGTGCAGGGCACTTGAGAAAATAATTTTTCTAAAAGCTTCACTGTGAAGTGCGATCGATATAAGATTTTTAATATTTAAAAAAATGTTATGGTCTATTTCTCCATGTTTATAACAAATTATGATACATCTCCCACATTCCTATTGCAGTGAATTACTAAAAGGAGGGACTGCACGTTCACAATTCCACACACATGTTAAATGAACTTAAGTTCAAAACTTTTTTTTTTTTGTTATTGCTCAATTTGTATGTTTCAGTCCTGGAGGTTCTCTACCATGTCATCCATGCTATAAATTGATATTTTGCAATCCCCTGGATGGTGTGAGGGAGAAATGAAGTGAAAAAGAGGCTCAGAGCCTCTCTTCTGATTGGCTGATTCCTGAGTGATCGAATGAAAATATAGCAGATTTCAGGTAAACACTCAGAGAAACCAAATCCTGCAAGGTGGGATGGTGGGTCCAGGATGGTGGATTTGGGGCGTGGCTTAGAGTGGTGACTGCTTTGTTGTGACATCACAAAGTTACAGAAGTACCGATGACTAATTTTAAAGCTCAGTTTCTGAATTCAGGCTGTGTGCATCTCTCTGTGGACTGAGCGCTTTGATACTTTCACAGTATTAATATAGAACTTAGACCTGCTTTATAAACCAAAGAGGACATGGACATCTACCTTCATACAATATGGGACCTTTAAATGAATTGATGCATTTGTCAAACCTTGCAACTCTTCTTTCTCAGAGTAACTTTTTGAAATGAGAATCCACGTATCTCCTGCCCTCAGCTTTTGGGATCAGCATGACTTAATCTTTCCAGTGATAGCAGTAATATGAGTAAGATCTCACCTCATAATCGTCTCATTTAGGCATTTTTTCAGTACACCTAGGGTTGCAGTACAAGCAGGAACCAATGCAGCATGACTGTCTGTGGTGCTGATTTGCCAGAATGTAAAGAAATACAGGCTAAAAAATGGGGCTCATGTGCGGCCCAGAGCCTAGAAATAAAGAGAGTGAAAACCCAAGAACAGCTCGGGGTTAATCCAGGTGAATTTAGCTGGGTTTACAGCCAACTTCAAAATGAAATCCAGTTTCCATTTTCATTGCCAAGACGCACAATCCTACACACTTCCTCTAATTAAGTCACTTCTCTATTCTCAATACTGTCGGTCTGCAGTAGGTCGTTTCTGATTGATTT